GGGAGCCGCTCGCCCCGCGCCGCCGCCAGTGCTACTGCCGCGGCTGCTGCTGCTGCAGCCCCCCCCAGCCGGGGCCGGCCGCCTACGGCGTTGCAACCCCGCAGTGCTCTCCTTGCAGCTCCGCGTGAGAAGGAGGAGAGGAAGGGCGCGGAGAGGGGAGGGAGCGGAGGAAGCACGTCGGGGGCCGCCGCCGCCGCAGCCATGCTGCCCGGGGTGGGCGTGTTCGGCACCAGCCTGACCGCCCGGGTCATCATCCCGCTGCTGAAGGACGAGGGCTTCGCCGTCAAGGCGCTGTGGGGCCGCACGCCCGAGGAGGCGGAGGAGCTGGCCAAGGAGATGAGCGTCCCCTTCTACACCAGCCGCATCGACGAGGTCCTCCTCCACCAGGACGTGGACCTCGTCTGCATCAACCTGCCGCCGCCCCTGACCAAGCAGATCGCCGTCAAGACGCTCGGTGAGTGAGGGTTTGGGGGGGAAAGGGTGGTGGTGGTGGTGGTGGTGGTGGTGGGGAGGCCGCTTAGGAGAGGCTTGGCCAAGAGAGGCCTCCTCCTCCTCCTCCCAGTTCAGCAGCTATGGGATGGCCTGCCCCTTTCAGGCATTTTTTTCCCTTATCGATGCTCTGCTCCTTGGTTACTCTTCGGGAGGTCAGGATGGGTCTGCACACGCTCAGAGGTGCTCTGTTCTTTGGCTCGCTGCTTGCGAACGGTCTGCTCCTTGGTTAGTCGTTGGGAGGTCAAGATGGGTCTGCACATGCTCAGAGATGCTCTGTGCTTTGGATCGCTGCCTGTGAATGGTCTGCACACGAAAGCTCCTACCTTGAATAAACCTTCGTTGCTCTTAAAGGTGCCAGTGGACTCTAAATTTGTTCTACTGCTTCAGTCCAACACAGCTGACTACCTGGATTGGTCTGCTCCTTGGTTAGTCATTGAGAGGTCAAGATGGGTCTGCACATGCTCAGAGGTGCTCTGTTCTTTGGATTGCTGCTTGTGAATGGTCTGCTCCTTGGTTAGTCATTGGGAGGTCAAGATGGGTCTGCACATGCTCAGAGGTGCCCTGTGTTTAGGATATGTGCTTATGAATAGTCTGCTCCTTGGTTACTCATTGGAAGGTTAAGTTGGATCTGCACATGCTCTGTTTTTAGGATTACTGCTTATGACATTGTGCTCTGTCTCTGTGTGTGCAAGAGAGAGAACTGCAGGAGCAAAGCCCTCTCTTCATTTTGGTTAGTCTGTGGCTCAGAGCATCTGTTTTGCGTGTAGAAGGGCCCAGGTTCAGTTCCCAGCATACCCAGTTAAAAGGAGGAGGTAGGAGGCAATGCTCCCTCTAAGCTGTGGAGTCTTGTGAGCAACAATTCTACTTTGTGAGCTACTGGCATTAAAGTTGTGAGTGAGTGATTGGGCTCCTGCATAAAGCAGCATGCCCTGGAGCCATCTTTAACCACTACACCAAACAAAAATCTGTGAGCTGGAGGCTAAAAAACTGTGAGCTAGCTCACACTAACTCAGCTTAGAGGGAACACTGGTAGGAGGTGATATGAAAAACCTCCGCCTGGGATCCTGAGCTGTCAGAGTCAACAATACTTCCTTTTAGGGGCCAGTGATCTGCTTCTGGATAAGGCAGCTTTATGCCCCAGACAGCGCTCAGTTCTGCTATGAACAGCATATTCTGCAGCTGAGATCGTTTCCGAGGGAACAGCTAGCACCAGGGGAACTTTGACTCCCTGAAACGTGTGCCCCGAAAATCTAGTTGGTGTCTAAAGTGCTGATGGACTTGAATCTATTTGTTCCGGCCCCGATTAAGCCCCTGTGGTTCAATTGAAAAATAAGTTTGGAGGATCAGCCCCAAATCTCTACTATTCTTTGGGATTTGGTTAAGTTTCTTCGTAAGGTATGACGGTCTGAAGTGTGGTCAAGAGCATCCTGTCTACCCAAAAGCCTTTTTCCCCTCCAAGCTTCAGATGTGTCACTTGCTGTCATTTAGGGCTGAGGGAAAGGCCCCTCTGCACATGTTCAAATGCACTCTTCTTTCTTGTTCGATCTATATCCGTTTCCAGACATTCAGAAAAAGGTTCCAGCCTATGTCCTGATGAACTTCCAAATGAAATATTATCAGCAAGTGACCAAGAATTATCTATCTGTCCCAGCCTAGTAACATAGCACACCCATCACTCTGCTGCCATTTCATAATACTGTCTTATGAGTCATTAATTTTTTTTAAAAAACCACCACATTATTTCTGGAATTATAGCAACTGAAAATTGCAGCTGGGATCCTCTGCCCCCATCTCAGGTGGTGATATATGTTTCCTGTTAGATTTGGACTATTGTAATTAATGGAAAATAGCTGTGGGCAGGCTTTTTTTAAGTTGGGGGGGATTTCATTCTTTTCCAAACACACCCAAAGTTTCTCCCTGGTCAGGACAGAATTCCTTGTCCTGAGTTGACTCTTTGAAGCCATAACACACTTGGGTTTGTTTGTGCATCACATTTGTCTCCTCTTCTCTTTTGAGAAAACCAGACCAGAATGTAAAGGCCTTCTCACATTCTGCCTTCATGTGAAGAAGAAGAAAAAGAAGAAGAGATTGGATTTATGCCCCACCCTTCACTTGGAGTCTCAGAGCGGCTTACAAACTCCTTTCCCTTCCCTTCCCCACAACAGACACCCTGTGAGGTAGGTGGGGCTGAGAGAGCTCTTTTGAGAACTGTCCTTGAGAGACAAATAATCCAGCAGGTGCAAGTGGAGGAGTGGGGAATCAAACCCGGTTCTCCCAGATTAGAGTCCATGCACTTAACCACTACACCAAACTGGCTTACCCTGAGACAGAGTGAACAGCTTAGGGTCACCCCATGAGTATCGTGGCTGAGATGAAACCTGAACTCTGTTGTCTTTTCTGGTCCTGGTTCTGAGGCCCAAATCCACACATGTATTGTAAAGCGCAGGAAGGATGGAATGCATAACTAAACCTTCCTGTATGGCCGTCAATAAATGGAAACTTCTGTGCAATTAAAATTACTTTAAGTTTCACACACAAATACACCCAATCGTGGGAGAAAGGTTGAGAAACACTTAAAGAAGCACATGTGAATTTGGTCCAACTCTGTATCTGTCATAGCACACATTTAGAATATACCATCCTATCACTTTCTTATATTCTAAAATAAAGGATACACTTCATGTTGTACAGTGACCATTTTTAGGGCCATGCTGGTGTAGTGTGGTGGTGAAGGATGTTGGAATAGTATCTGGGAGAACCGGGTTTGTGCCGTCGGGGTTTGCTGGGTGCCCTTGGGCCAGTTGCACTCTCTCAGCCTAATTTACCTCATGCAGGGCTCTTTTTGTAGCAGGAACTCCTTTGCATATTAGGCGACACGCCCCTAATGTAGCCAGTCCTCCAAGAGCGTACAGAGCTCTTCTTACAGGGGCTACTGTAAGCTCTTGGAGGATTGGCTACATTAGGGGTGTGTCACTTAATATGGCAAAGGAGTTCCTGCTACAAAAGAGCCCTGCCTCACAGGGTTGTTGTGAGGATAAAATGGAGGCGAGGAGAAGGATGTAAGTTGCCTTGAGTCCCCATTGGTGAGAAAGGCGGGGTTACAAATGAGGTAAATCAATTAATTAAAGAAGACATCCTTGGTATTGGTCTCTTGAATACAGATTTTCAATACAGGCAAGATGAATGGCCAATGTTGAGGGAAATTTAATAGCTGTGTCCCTATTGATGTCTATGTGCAGGGCTCTTTTTGTTGAAAAAGCCCAGCAGGAACTCATTAGCATAATAGGCCACACCCAACAGCAGGAACTCGTTAGCATATTGGGCCACACCCATGACACCAAAGCTCATTAGCACATTAGGACGCACCCCCATGTTACCAGAAGTGTGGTCATCCAGCTACACCCACCTTTTGCTTCTTATTCTGTTTACCTTGTTTGTTGTCAAAAGCTAGGGCTTTTTTTGTAACAGGAACTCCTTTGCATGTTAGGCCACACACCCCTAATGTAGCCAATCCTAATGAGTTTCTGCTGTTGGGTGTGGCCTATTATGCTAATGAGTTCCTGCTGGGCGTGGCCAGCTCGGGAGCCAGCCGGAACTCCGTTCCTGTGTGCTCCTGCCCAAAAATAGCCCTGTCTATGTGTAATATTAATTTTTTCACTCACTGAGGGAAAAAAATAACTTTGCCTGTACCTGGCTGTCGTATTCTTTCTTCTGTGAAACATTTCTGTTTGTGTGGACTCCGATGACCTTTTGCATTTTTCCAAATGCCTCTGAGGTGAGTTTGTGGGGAAGTGCAACAAGCCTGAATTTCCAGAAGCATTAACCTAATTTTTTCTAAAATGTGCCATAGATCTAAGGAATTAGTTAATTTATCAGTGTTTGAAGGTGATATATCTCCTGTTGGTCCAGGGGCACATTGATCCTGACGGGAAATGTTGCTTCCCCAGGTGTGTTACAGCTCTCAAAAGCTGGTGCAAATAGTGTCAAGTCTGAAGCATATGTGAGGCAGATAGCAATTATTTTTTATATCTAAAAAGATCTCAATCTTTTCAGCAGCTGTTTTCTTGTTCATTTTCAATTGCCATAATTACTTTCCTCTTTTTTTGCTGATCTGCTCTCCTCATGTAGTTTCATACCGTTATAAAAACAGTGTATATCTTCTTGCCGTCGTTTCCATGTATCAAACCGTGACACCTTGCAATCGATGTTTCTGGTTTCCCTGACAAAGGAAGAGGGACCAGGAGGATGTACCCTTAACTTGCCACCCATTCCTGATCTTTGCTCCTGTCTCTTCAATATTAGCTTGCGACAAAGAAATTAAACAGGTAACTTTTATCTCTCCTTTTTAGAAAAAGCTTTTTTCTTTTTTCTTTTTTGCATCATCAGATGTTAAAGATTCACTTTGCCTTTAAACAGCAACATGTTGCAAAGAAATGAAAGTGTTTTTAGGAGAGGTGAGAAATTTCACCTGTTTAATTTCTCTTTCCACCAAAAATATATATATATATATTCAATTTTCTTTCTCAGAAGTAGCTCTCTGCAGTCTGTGAAAATGTAAGGGATGATGGGAAGTTGTAGTGAAGAACGCTGGGATACTGTCACATGACTTATGCCATCTACCCACCCCCAGCAGGATTCCTCCCAAACCACCTGACCTTAAGACGCACCTAGTTTTTAAAGGAGGAAAACAGGGGAAAAAATATTCTGAACCTTCGGTCCATAAGACGCACTCACTTTTCCTCCCACTTTTTTTGGAAGAAAAAGTGAGTCTTATGGTCCAAAAAATACGGTAAGTAGGGCCCCGGTCACACGGACCGGATATCGTGTGTGTGTGTGTGGGGAGGTGTGGCTAATTGCCCCGGAGCGAACTACCATGCGGCAGCCGGATCAAATGTCCCGCCGGACGTCCCGCCAACGTCCCGTGGTTGGGGGGAGGTGCCGATCATACCTCACTCCTGCAGC